ATAGAAATAGAAAAAAAAATTTATAGGTAAAACTGAATTTGATAAAACTAAGATGAAAAACGTTAGGTCGACTCGATTTTGTCGACTTTCCACTCAAGTTGACTTTCCGTTGAAATTTTTCACACGATTTGTCGACTTTAAGGCGATCTAGTTATATATATATATATATATATATATATATATATATATATATATATATATATATATATATATATATATATATATATATATATATATATACAGTATCAGACAAAACAAGTGCAACCAAATAATTCTAATTTAGTTTCTTTATATAAAACTGCTGCATTTTTTCAATTTAGAAAAATAACTATGTAACTGTTTAGAGACAACGTTCTTCAAGTTTTATTCATCACAAAGTTCATTATTTGTACACAAAAATTAATAAATTAATCAAAAGTATTAAAAAAAGTTGATTTCCTCCTGGATAAAACAAGTGCAACTCCACAAAATGTTGACCAAGCTGTATTTTGCTATCAATATTTCGTGGCGAATCCTTTGTTGTCGATCACAGACTTGCATCTTCGAGGCATAGATTCGATCAGGTGATCAATGAAACTTTGTGGAATCGATGCGCAGGCCTTTTGGATTTGTTCAAACAGTTGATCCTTATTACGAACACCTTCATGATTAATTCTGCAGTTGACAATCTCCCACAGGTTCTCGATAGGGTTGAGATCCGGAGATTGAGGCTGTTAATCCATAACTGATAGATGGTTGTCTTGAAACCACTGCTTGACTACTTTTGCAGTGTGTTTTGGATCGTTGTCTCACTGAAAAACCCATTTTATTGGCGTATTTCATTCAGCATGAAGTAACATAATATCTTTCAGTATATTTTAATACATGAAATGGTCCATTATTCCATCGATTCGATGTATTGGACCTAGACCATTAGCAGAAAAACACCCCCAGACCATTACATTGCCTCCACCATGTTTCACGGTCTTATGGCAGTAACGTAAATTGAGGAGTTTTCCGGCCAGTCGACGTACACAACAAATGCCATCGCTCCCAATGATGTTGAACATTTTTATTGAACTGAATGGACTGAACAGGACAGTTCGCCATTTCTGCACATTCCAGTCAATATGAGATGTAGCAAACAGGAGTCTTTTCTTCTGGTTCTTTAGTGAAATCAGCGGTTTCTTTGCAGGTTTCTTTGCAGCGGTTTCTTTGCACAATCCAGCTTCAACAACACGTTGTCTGATTGTTCGGTCAGATACAGGCAGCTCCAATTGCTTTTGTATTTCGACTGATGATATCCAGGGATCCTTCTTTATAGATCTGAAGATCATAGTATCCTCTCTAGAAGTGGTGGAACGCGGTCTTCCACCTTTGTTATCTGCTGCCAACTTCCCCATAGAACGATATTTGGAACATAGTTTTGATACGTTGATTTTTTCACGCGATATTTATAACAAATACTTTTTTGTGACAATCCACTTACGTAATCACCAATAATTTTCTTAGTTCCAATCCAAGACGGTCAGGAGCCATTTTTGCACTTACAGTCATAAAAAAAATAAAAATAAATAATCACGCTTCTCAAGGCTTACCGTGTTACATTTACCTTGTGATGATACAATAATGCTCTGTGGAACACAACTTCTTGATACTTCCTTTAATTATCAAAAAACTTCTGTGACGTTAACGGACCAGACTTAAGAAAATGAAACAAACCAAAAAAGTTGCACTTGTTTTGTCAGCTGCAAAATGGCACTTGTCAACAAAATTCTGCCTGTGTGCTGTCACCTGTCAGCTGATTGCTCATGTCATGGCATGCAATGACTCCAGACTCCTGAACTGTTTGCTGTGGTAGTATAGTTCGTTTCGTTTTTAAGACATGTAAAATTAGGAACACTTTTTAGCATTGTTCGATGTTGGTTGCAAATGTTTTGTCCAATACTGTATATATATATATATATATATATATATATATATATATATATATATATATATATATATATATATATATAGTATAATATATATATATATATATATATATATATATATATATTATACTATTTATATATATATATATATATATATATATATATATATATATATATATATATATATATATATATATATATATATATATATATATATATATATATATATATATATATGTATATATATATATATATACATATATATATAAATAGTATAAAACTATTTAAAATTTGAAAAAGATTTAAAATAGTTTTCTTGTTTATGATACACTACTTTAATTGCGGGTCGTTAAAGCAAAAAGAAGTTAAAGTTTTTTATCAATATAATTCAATACCATTAAAAACTTAATAATTTATATCAATATAATTCAGTAATTAAAAATTATTATTTAAAAATAATTTTACATTTTTAATTTACCTCCTTATTATATATTTGAGTATATATTAAATTCATTGTTGATAAACCTTTCATCTAATAATTATTGCATATTAATAGAAACCAGTAATTTTCTGCTTTAACAACCCTGGATTCAATAATTTGCTTTGTTAACGAACGTTTTGCTTGTAATATACGTATCGCTGTAAAACTAATCGTTGCTTCACTTATTTAAATTAATTTTATTTTACTGATAGCGAAAATCCTTTTTCTTAAATGATTGAAGTTCTTATCTTATTACTATTTTAATATAAAAATTTTATTTATTATTTTATTAATAATATAATAATATATAATAAATTATGTATTTAAATATATAATTTATTATATATTTAAATTATGTATTTAAATACTATGAGCAGTGTATAATATCTATGAGCAGTTTTTCTTTTATCTGCACTTAGTCAATTTGTTTTATTTTTCTTAACTTTTTATTTATTTTCTGTAAGTTTTGCGGCAAATTGCAAATCAATGAATGAATGGTTTATAGAAAAATTAAAAATTACTAATTGAACACTTGCATATATTTTTTTTAAAAACAGGATTATTAAAAAATCCATATATTTACTTAAAGTTTTTTAAAACTTTAGGGATTTATTTCATTATTATTCAAAATTATTATATGTAATCAAGAACATAATCCTTTAAATCCTCAACAGTCCTTTTTTTTTTTATTTAATCTTTTCTATTATTTTTTGATTAACTTTTCCTGCCATTTGCAAATTCATTGCAATGAAATTATTTTTAAATAAATTAAAAATTATTAATTGCCTGTTTGCGCTTTTAAAAAAACATTGATTTTATTTTAAAATGTTATTATTAATATAATTTTTTTCATTAGCCTTCAAGCATTAACTTATTTTTGTATTTATAAAGTTAGTCGAGAAGAACTATTACTAAGACTTAAATAAAACAAAAAATTTTGTTTTGTTTAAGTCTTAGTAATAGTTCTTTTCATACCTAATTAAATTTTACACGATTGATCTAATGATGCATATAATTGACTGCAAAAAAAATAATCGTACGCTGACAAAATATGTCATTATTTTAGCATAAATTGAGCGAATTGAACGATTAAACTAGTTAGTAAAATTAAAAATAGTAATTTTTTAAATACACTTCTGTTCTAGAAATAAAATATAGTGTTTTAGCAAAATGGCTTCAAGAAAACAAAATTTGTCTTTCCATCAACGAAGCCTCCTAGTTGATTTAAAAAATCAAGGAAAATCCTACCGTCAGATCCAAAAAGAAACAGGAATTCCTTTTACAACAGTGTCCTTAATTGTTTAGAAGCATAATCTGATTGAAACTGTTGCTAGTGTGGCTGGCAGAGGACGAAAACGCAAGACCACTAGTGCAATTGATCGCAATATCATCATTAATGTGAAGTAAAATAGATTTGTTTCGGCAGCTAAATTAGCTTTAAAAGTTCAAGAAGATCACAATATCACAGTAACCTCTCAAACAATTAGAAATCGTATTAGAGAACAAGGATATAGAGGTAGAGTAGTTCGAAAAAAACCTTTTTTAACTTCAAAACAAATGTAACGTCAATTAGAATTTGCAAAGAAGTACGAAAAAATGCCGATATCTTATTGGAAAAAAATTTTGTGGTCAGATGAGTCCAAATACAACCTTGTCTCATCGGATGGAGTTCAAAAAGTGTGACGAAAAAAAGAAGAAGCTTATAAATTAAGTTGTTTGCGAGGTAGTGTAAAGCATGGAGGAGGAAATGTGATGGTTTGGGGTAGTATGAGTTGGAAAGGGGTAGGGAACTTGACAATTATTGATGAAAAAATGGATGCTTCAATGTATTGTGAAATTCTTAAAGCCAACTTGCGACCATCTACTACAAAATTGAGAATGGGAAAGGATTTTATACTGCAGCAGGATAACGATCCAAAACATACTGCTAAGAAAACAAAGGTATACTTTGACACAAATAACATCAATGTTATGGAATGGCCATCAAAGTCCGGACTTGAATCCTATAGAAAATTTGTGGTATATTTTGGACAAAAAAATTGATGACCGAGCATTTAGACAAAAAGACGAGTTAAAAGAAGCTATGATGAGCGCATGGGATAATATAACAACAGGAGAAACCCAAAATTTGGTCAACTCAATGCCAAATCGTCTAGCTGAGACCATCAAGGCCAAAGGAGGCCCCACTCGATACTAAATTTCATGAAGTTTGATCAATTTGACATTATTTTTAAACTGTACGATTTTTTTTTTTGCAGTCAATTATATGCATCATTAGATCAATTGTGTAAAATTTAATAGGTATGAAAAGCAATTAACTCACCAATACACAAATAAATTCTTAAAACAAAACTTAATAAGATATCTAAAAAAAATTTTCAAATATTTTAACGAAAAACTAATTTTTTTGATGCAATCTTTAAAATTACGATTTTTTTTCAAGTGTACGATTATTTTTTTTTGCATACTGTGTATATATATATATATATATATATATATATATATATATATATATATATATATATATATATATATATATATATATATATATATATATATATATTAGGTTTTAAGCAAATTTAAAAAAAATGTAAAAAAAAAATTACCAGTAGGAGTAGCTACAGAAAAGCAGAAATCTGAACATTCATCTGGATTTGTTTCATTAAGAAAGCTATACTTGGGTGGAATTCTTTCAGCCCTAGTAAATGGAGAAAATAAAACTTCCTCCATTATATCAGCTTGAATAAAAAAGATTTTTGGTTTATTAAGCAGCCAATTAGTAGAATTTTTATTCATAGAAGTTTTCATTTCTTGAAATGTCACCTTCTTACCATCACTTCCATACACTCCATCTTTGAAACCATGTGATAATATACAACACACAAAACAATCAATAGTTTCCATGCTTTTTTTATCATTAATTACCTTCAAAATGTTTTGAGCTTCTAAATTATGATGTTCAACAACTTCAAAATTTAACCATGAAAATGTATTACATAACAGAATAACATCTTTCTCTGTACCAAACCGACTTTTTAATAACCTTCCATCCTCAGATTCAACTTCATAAAAAAAATTATTAGCAATAACATGGCAAATTCCACATGGATGACTCTCCATAGCGTAAATATCATCTTGATTACTTATTTGAACTTCTTTAATATGCTCCTCATTCTGTCGAACATTGTAAGATAATTGATTAAAAGCGTATTGCAAAGGAGAATTTTGATTGTAAACATCACTTGATATCTTAGGTTTTTCAGCATTTGATGACAAGAGAGAACTGTGTTTTGTTGAAACTATATTAGTTTATAAAAAAAAGTAAAATTTAAATAGAAAAGTAAACAGATATGATTAGGAAAAAAATATATAAAATTCTTACTAAAAAACATAAATTGTTATGAAAAAAAACTATTAAATTATGTTAATATTTATTTTAAAATACTTCAAAAGTACATCCTAAAAGTTTGAAACTCATAGTATTTTTATTTATATTCATTTTAGAAATTTAAAAACACCTTTAAAAAAGGTCTAGGTACTGACCCTTGCTGTTCTTAAATATAATAAGTGACAGGAGTTGATATTTGACAGGAGCCGGGTTTGATAAAACATAGCCGGAGCTGAGGCCAGGGCCGGGTTTGTAACTGGGGCTGCATAAACATTTAGATATTATTTAAATTCATGTATTATTTTGTATATATATACATATATAAAGGAAGATTCCTATTTCACAACGGTTGACGATAACATTATAGTTTTTGCATCAATAGCTCAGAAATTTTTTAGATTACATTCTTAGCATCAAAATAAATTGAAAATAGAAGAATTTTTAAAGATAGCGCACAAAAAGTGATGTTTGTGGCGTGTTTCTATATTTGTCGTTATCAAGTTTAAATTTGCTATGAATCAGTTTAATTTTTGTTTACGTATGTGGCTAGCACTAATCTTAAAAAATCTTAGGAAAAATCTTAGGAAAGTAATTTACTCGTTTCACTAACACAAATATCCGCTGTTTTAGAAAAAAGGGAAAAAATATTTGGCACTTTTTCTACTGTGTATTTGTTACTATTTTGACTAGAAAATGTTTAGTTGCAAAAATTTCTCCGTTTCAAGTTAATGCAAAAGTTTAGACGCTTTTGCAAAAAAAATTACAAATGTTTTATTTTGTGAAACATATTTTTTCTGAAATATTTTTGTGTCTTCTTTAATTCTATGATGTTATTTTGTCAATTCATCTCATAAGGGTTTTGTTATAGTAATTTCTAATAAATGTATGGTATAGAAACACTGCAACAAAGTCGAGTTTTTATACAAATTTTCAACAAAGAAACAAATAACGACAAATTATCTACTTTATTGACAAATTCAATTGATTAAACATTCTTTATATAAAATCTAATATTGCTTCGATTAAAATTTCGAAAAAAACAATTATTTCACACATGCAAAGTTACATAGGACTGTGTGATATATCCACTTTATTGTCACTGGTATAGATTCTCTACAAAAATATTGTGTTTCTACACCAAAACTTTTTACATGAAATGTTTCCAGATTAATATTCGAATAAAAAGGTTTTGTGAATCTAATGAATGAATCTAGTGAATAAATATTTTTTCTTTTCTTAATTTTAATATGTTCTTTGCAAATTAAATAAACAAACTTTATTGTTTCATTGTAATTCTTGCAAAGCGGCGTTGATTAAATTTAGGCATCGTCATCATCTGTATAGAAATCATACTCGCAAGTATTGTTTCTATACAAAAAAAATCCTGTTTACTCAGTTTATTGTATTGCAGTAATAGTCTTACTCTTTATGCTGATGTTTTTTTCTTTTACAAAAAAAAAAGATATCTTTTATTAATTCATAAAATCTTTCGCCTATTTCACTGTAAAATGATTCAACAGCATTATAAATTAGTTTACAATTCTCATCACTTGTATAGAATTCCTACCTTCTAGCCCATACGCATGCACACAGATTTTACCTGAGTTCATCAACTGGTTTTGTTTATACACAAACAATTTCAAGTGTAAGAAAGTATAAAACTGTTAAAGACAAAAAATATTCAATACAATATTGAAACAAATACTTATCTTATATGTGATATAACAAAAAACAAATAAAAGTGTAAAATCCATTCGTTTAACATAAACTATAAATTAAATCTATGACTTAAATAAAAGTTTGTAATTATAGCTGAAGTAAAAGTGTTAAAGTCAGGTCAGATTATCCTGCTACTGGTAACATGTAACCCAGTACAACCTGCTTAATATCATGCTGCCGTACAGGATACGCTTTTTCAGGCAAAGACTAGGAGAAGCCAACTCCGACTTAAAAAAACCACTGCCTAGGGAATCTTGGTTGAGTAAACGGTAGAGATGGTGTCTCGATAAAAAGACTTATCTTGGGGAGATGTTAAACGCATCCAGCTATTGTCTTGTAGAAGGCCTCCTAGGCAAAGACTTAAGGAGAAAACAGGTTCTATCTGTTGATTAGCCTTGCATTCCTTCTTCATCTATTAGGCTGAAGGAGATATATTTATAATACATTGTTTCCAGTTTAGGTTGTTAAATGCTAGATCTTCTTGATTCAATGCATGAATTTTGTTTTTACTTCTGTTTTTATGACAAGCCACTCATTCTATTATCTCTTAATACAGCTCTAAAACTCAGTTTTATGGTTCTGAGGCCGGCTAGTAGTCAGGTTTCTTAAACTCAGTGGTAGGTCTCAGAGTGACTGATTCCATCAACATCTGTAAAATATCAGAGTATTAAGTCAAGTTATAAGTCAAGAGTATTAAGTCAAGTCAAGTTACGCATGGATGGTGTCCCTGTTCATACTTTTGGTGTGCATTTTCTTTTTTTTAGTTTACATTTCGCTGTTAAAATAAATTACAGATGAGTTTTACATGGTAACTATCAGTAAATAAAATATTTTAAAAACAGACCGGGACTCAAAGAAGATAAGGGTGATGCGATATCACCTCAATCTTTTCATAGAGCCCCTTAATATATTAAAATTTTGTCAGATAGAGTTAAAAATATAAAAGTAATATAATAAAAAAATTGAAAATAAACTAAAAGTCAGAAAGAAAATTATTTTTACAACTACAATGATATTTTGCAGTAATTATATTTTAAAGCTAGGTATTCAAAAATTAGAAAAACAAATGGATCAGGGTAACAACATCCACTTTTGCTATATCATTGTTTTTGCAACAACATCTGAACAACATTTCAAATTTCATTGATGTATAATAACATCTGTCTAACAACATCCGAAATTTCATTGGTTTAAAATAACATCCATGCAACTACATCTGTAGATTTCTTGGATGTAACTACATCCGAAAACAGTATTTTTTAATAATGCATTAGTTTAACCAGATGAAGTTTTTTGGATGTATCTACATCCGCCAAAAAAAAATTATTAAAATGCATTATTTTAAGCATAATATTTTTTTTTTTAAATTTAATTTTTTGATAGACTTCCTGCACAAACCAAACCCTCAGTCGATGTAGCAGAACGCCGTTGCAAGTCATGCTATTTGTCAGTCGATGTAGCAGCACTTATATAATATAATAATTCTATATGTAACTTGTATATGTAATTACATCCCGGAATTTTTTTTTTAATAATACATTGATTTAATCAGATGTAGTTACAAATCTGATTTTTTCAAATGTAATTACATCCGGGAAAAAAACAAATTCAAAAATGCATTGGTTTAGCCAGATGTATTCACTCATCTGATTTTTTTTCGGATGTAAATACGTCTGGAAATTTATTTTATTTAATAATGCATTATTTTAGGCGGATGTAGTTGCACATTGAGAAAAACTCCCGGATTTAGTTACATCTTTCTAAAGATGTTATTAGACATCAATGAAACATCAGATGTTGTTGGGCAAATGTTAATACAGTAAAGAAAAAAATGTGGATGATCTTGAACAAAAATGTGCGTATGTTATTCACTACTCCACGTATGTTGTTGGACCGATGTAGTAACCTTTTTCCCATACAAGCATATACAGAAAGATTAAAAAATTTTACATTAAAAAACACATATATCAATAGTAACTACTAAGAATAATAAGTAAAATCTATTTGAATAAATTTACAAAAGGGTTTCGATTTTATGCCGCAAAATTCAAAACGTGTTTTTTTGCTTGGAACTTAAATAATTTTAATGATTTTACTATATTTGCATTAATTTTTTAAAAAGAATTCCATTACTTAGGTCCACGATATGTTATTAAATATTTTGTATATTTATTTAGTTTCCTTAGCAGTTTGAAGGAATTTAAATGATTTGTTCTTAAGAAATACTTTTCACTTACATTTTTCTCAAATCTACAAATGAAATTAGTCAGAGTTAGATTATTATTATAATTATACATGAAAATTAGGTGCTGATAAAAATATATTCGTCTCCATCCTTCACTTTCATATTTCTCATTAAGGGTTTAGTGTGCTCCCCTCTTTTTTTTCCGAAAATAATTCTAGAGGCATGTTTTTACGAACAAAGTATTTTTTTTCAAGTTTTATTGGTTGTGTACTAACCATGTTATATTGGCATAGTTAATAAAACAAAGAATTAAAGAAAAATACAATAACTTTAAACAAACTGTATTTACATATAGATGAACTCGGTACATCAGACCAATGGTTTTACTAACTTTTGATTGTAAATATTTAATATGGGGAAGCCAATATAAATTATTTTTAAAATGCATTCATAAAAAATTTATACATTCTTTCTTTTTGAAAATAGGGCTGGTAATTTAAGGGAAAGATTTTCTTCTTGCATCTTTTCATGAAAAAAGGTATACTTTGTTTTTTCAACGTTTAATGAGAGTTTATTCGTTATAAACCAGTCATTTATTTTACTTAATTTAAAATTCATGCCTGCATTAAGTTGTTTGAAACTATTGTTAAAAAAAATAAGTTTTTGTCATCTGCGAACATACTTGGGTTTAATTTTACTAATGCATTAACTTTACTAAAGTCATTTATGTTAACTGAGAGAAAGAGAGGACTAAGTATCTATCCTTGCAGACTCCACACGTGATTTTAAGTATTCCGCATTTTTGATTTAGAACATATTATTTTTTTGTTAGAGAGGTAACTTTTTATCCAATAGTAGACCTTATTAATTACTCCGTAATGCTTTAACTTTTCTAAAAAAATAAAATGATCGACAGTGTCAAAAGCTTTTAAGAGAACTATAAATATATCAAAAGTAAGTTTATTTTCGCTAAAGCCATTATTTATTTGATCAACTAATTCAATACA